TTTCTTTTTTTTTGTTTTTTTAATGTCCAAGGATTATTTGAATGAGCCATTTGGATGTTGGGCAAATTTAATATTTGGGCTCGGCCCAATCTTCATTTCTTCTTTCATTACTTTTGTTCTCCAAAATATATCTGAAAAATATGTCAAGAAGAAATAATACTCCAAAATAATTGTAGAATACAAATACACTCAAATTCATGCATTTTATCTATAAAAAGTAAACAATGGCCTAAAATGCTAAATAAAACAAAACATACTTATTTGAGTATAAAATGCATATAAAACATCTTAAAAGTATTAAGAAATGAGGGAATAAAATACAACATTTTGTGACTTATCACTTTCAAAGTTCAAATATTTATGGGGAAAAAAAAACAAAGCTCAAATATGAATAAAAAACAACTAGAATTTATAGCATACTAACATAGTCACATTGGGATATAGTTGCTCACAAATGTTCAACGAGGCCAGAAAATGAACTACAACTACTCAGCTAGTGAAGCCAATCATTTATACTCTAGAATACAGAAGATTAAACAAAAGAAAATGTGGAATCAGGACAATAAATTTCCATATTTTTATTTTTAATTGTAGAAAATATCTCAACTTACAATTTGACATAATGATGTCAGATGTGAAGTTTATATAAAACCTTTTACAATCTGCTCAAATTATTAGAGGGACATTTCGATCAATAGGAAAATATAGCGCAAGATACAGAAGACCGTCACCAAGCCAAGAAAACACAACAAAGCATAGATAAGAAAAAGGGGGCAAATGAGAACTTTTTTCAGTTGTATGGAACAGAGTATTGGGCAGTAAAGGGTGAACATGAACACAAGGTTAGTGTGGCAAAAATGAAGATGCTTCGTTGGATGAGCAGCGTATGGATAGAATTAGGAATGAAGATATGAGAGCTAAAGTTGGAGTGGCACCTATCGTAGAAAAGATGGTGGAAATGCGTCTTAGGTGGTTTGGACATGTGGAGAGGAGACCAATAGAGCATCCTGTGAGAAGGGTTGATCGAATGGTGAATAGGCATGTGACTAAAAGAAGAAGTAGGTAGATCTAAGAGGACTTGGCAAGCACTTATCAAAGGAGACCTTCGCATGAATGATCTCAGAGTGGATATTATACATGATGGGCCCAATGGCATCGTTTGATCCATGTTAGTCGGATAAGGCCTTGTTGTTGTTGTTTGTTGTACACTGCCACTCTTCCCACTATACATTTTTTATTCAAGGCCTGATAATTAGATCCTAGATAAGAAATGTGTGGTTGGGAGGGGCGGTGTACAACTTGGGGTACAATTTGGTGTACCCCAAGGACTTTGATTTTTTGTTACAAATTACTCCATATTCCTGGGGGTGAGTTACCACATACCAACATATGCAACAACCATACTTTTTATTCCAATTTGTGTAACTAAGTCTAACATGTCTAATTTTGCTCCAGGATGTGCTGGCAGTACCAATATAAGTTTTTTAATTTATTAACCAACAACACTGTCAGTACCGTGTGAGCAGTGCTTTTAAGTAGGTGGTTTACAATTTACTAAAACCATACATGCAATAAAATTTAAACATTACACAAATAGAAGAAAGGTGAAAAATAATTTTGTATTCAATCAAGCAAATGACTAGAAAAAAAGAATCACAATTGCTACCTCAGTCCATAAATTATCTTCTCATACTATTCAGAAGGTCAAATTTTATTTCCTTTGTTTGCCTATTTTGTCGCCCATAAGGCCCATTTAATAAAATAATATAGTCTTGTTAGTATCTCACTTCTAGATTAGAAGATCTTTTAATGTAGTTTTTACTCCATATATATATATATGGAGTAAATCTTATTTTTCATTTCCACAACAGTTTTTGTATAAAATGAAGTAAAATTAACTTTAGTCAAACATCGTAACGCGGAACAGGTAGAAAATTAGTGGAAGGAGGGAGTACATAATTAATTTGAAAAACGATGACAACAAAACTGGTAAATTAAACTAGTTATTACTATGTCTTCGTGGTCACCTATCCATGCTATTGGTCATACATGTGTTTATTTGAGTAAACCAAACCTTGCTATGTTAGTCAAGATATATATTTCATGTTGAAGGTCATTTGAGCTATATGGCTATGTTCTTTGAAGAAATCTTCTCTGACTCCTAACACATTCGGAGTTTACTCTCAAACAATTTTTGTGGATCACAACTTGTATATTTTCAATCTAGTGGAGTAGTAATGAATATTTTTGTTGTATCAAGTTAAAAGCTTATCAGAAATTGGACAAGGACACCACCCATTATGAGCAATTAGACAAAAATACTATGAACTTTGAAATTAGCCAAAATGCAACCAACAATCATCCGAATTGGCCAAAAACAATATAAATGTTTTTCGAGCATGCCAGAATAAAAGAATCCATATAAATGCCTTGTTGTATAAATATACTTTGAGTCTAATCTCTAATAGTTGGTAGTTGTTTTGTCCAATGTCACCCTCTAGAAAAATATTTATGTATGTCTCATAGGTATACTTTGTTTTTATCCATAGTCTTCATCATTGTAAAATTTCACAAATGATAAAATATTACACTGTCACAAATGTGATACTAGTCCGTAAGACTTAAGATTTATCTAATTAAAAATTGGTATTTAAAATATTTTTCACACTGAAAAATATTGTTCTTGTTGGTATATTACTTTGCCACATATTGGTGATCCATGAAAATAATTTCTATCATTGATCAAAAAATGATTTGCAAATTTTGAATTTCATCGAGTCCACATTTGATATTAAAAATATAAGTCTGGAAAACTATTTTTGATAAAATACTATTTCATCACGAATTGATGAAAAGATTTTCAAGACGGCATCAAGATTTGACTAATCTTAAAATGAAAAAACCAGTTTAGATCCATAACAAAAAACGTTCATGAAAAACATAACTATGCCAAAATGATACAGATTGTATTATTATAGATAAAATTTAATAGTGATAAAAACGATTAAAATCAAAGAGGAGAAATCATTTTTGTGGGGTGAGATTAGACAAAACACACGCAACTTTGAAAATTGAGACAAAAGACTCCAAGATGTTTGTACAAGAGTGTATTTATATGAATTTTAATATTTTAACATGCTTCGACGATAATTATAATATTTTTGTCCAAGGCTAAAATTGGTTATCCAATTTCAAAGTTCATTTTGTTCTTACCCAAATGTCCATACTTTGTAGTGTTTTGATCCAATTTTCCTAGAAATATTAACATTCAATGCCACTTTATAACAAACTTCATAGCATATCCCAACAGACACAAAACTCACGTTCACTCTAGGAACCTAATTTATGTTCATAACTTCCTATATATGAACATGCATTGTACTCTTTAATTAATGTGTTTTGTCTATTCCAAAACTTTATTTTGTGACAGAGAGTCTCCCATGGATAAAGAAGGAATCAGATGAGAGATTGTGGTTCGGTAATATAGAAAGTGGGCCAAAGAAGCTTGGCACAACAGCAATTACCGCTGCACCAGAGCATGAATCCTCACTATCTTAAGTACCTGCATAATTCATCACATTCGTCTCTATCCAGGTTGGGACTTAGTCATGTTGGTTAGAAAATAGAGTAATCAAAGAACATAACAGATTCTTCTATGAGATAAGGTCAAGAGCACTCAGATGAGTAAGGGTAAATCTGTATATCCAAATAAGTAGATCAACAGCAGTGCTCAGTCGGGCAATCAATAATAGATCAGCCATACGGATTCCCCATTGTTCAAAACTCATCTCTCAATAACAGACAACACTCCCTCAAAGCTATTAAGAAATTTATGAAAGGGAAAAGGAACAAAAACAATTTTTATCACACAATACCATTCTATAAAAAAAGATGTCTAAAAACAAAAATGTGTCATAGTGGCACCTCAAGTATACGAGTGGCACTTCATTGATGAAATTCAAATATATGACTTGTGCTTGATAGCATGTAATAGTACAAACATAAATATATCATAAAAACCAGATTTTCAAACTTTAAATATTTAAAAAAAACAAAGCTCGGATATAAAAAAACATCTAAAATTTACAGCATACTAACATAGTCACATAGGGTTATAATCGCTTACAATTGTACAACGAGGCCAGAAAATGAATTACAACTACTCAGCAAGTGAATCCAAACATTTATAGTCTAGAATATAGAAGATTAAACAAAACAAAATGTGGAATGAGGAAAACAAAATTCCAATTTTTTATTTTTTAATTGTAAAAAATATCGCATTTTACCGAGATATGAAAGAACAGTTTCGATCGATAGGAAATCACATCACCAAGATACAGAAGACAAGCACCAAACCAATAAGATACAACACAGCATAGAGAAGAAAGAGGTGGAGGAGAAGAAGAAAGAAATTTACCTGGGGAGTGAGAGAATCGGCCATGGATGCGCTTAAGGGGGGATGATAGGGTTTTAGATTTGGCTCCGTTCCATCAAATTAAATTTACAGTATGAACCATTTAAGAAGAATTTATGGAATTTATTTGAATGTCTTGAGATTAAATTCCATAAAAGGTCCTAGCTATAAGTCATTTTATATATTTAGTCTTTACTTATCAAATATTACTAATTTAGTTCTCAATTATTATATCATTTTTTACGAATGGTTCTTTATTATAATTGTTGAATATAAGTGAGCCCTAGAGGCCAACTTATGATTCCATATCTATATTATATCAAGAATAATAGGCCTTAAAGATTGTTTAAATCGTCTCGTGTGATTTAAACATAACTCTAGTCCATAGAGTAGGCGCTCTAGTAACACAGATGAGAACTACGACGTTCTGGTTATGAGGCTATTACAAAGATAAAGGCTACGTCTAAAATATCATTAGTCGAATATTATGACAATACGGACATCATAATATATCAAGACTAATACGTATGAGATGAGATAGCTGCGTCTCGTAGGCTATAGATAAAGTGTTATCTGAATCTATACGTAAGCAAACATATTGGATATGTTGCTGGATTGACCCGCTCTGAGAATAATATATGGGTTTAGGTTAAAGTGTTAATATTATTCTCATTCGACCATTAGTATAACAATCCTTCGACTTGAAGTCATTACATTCTTTGGTAAGTTGAGTTGTATACTTTGAAGCATAATTTAAGCCATCTGAAATATTGGTGAATGTACAATTATGTTTTGGGTATGCAATGAAGCTTAAGTAAAGATGCGAATGACGTAGATAGAATTTATCTCTTCTTTAATGAAGTATAATATCTTAGAGCCCACTGATTGATGTAACTTGGGAAGTGCATGGTCATGCCCAAATAAATATGTTATTTGAATCCCACAAATCAATCGAAGAATCAATAAACCATCGATTTGACTCTAACAAGGTGACACTGTAACGCCCTGAAAATGGGTCTAGAAATTTTTTAAAGAAATTTTATAAAATCTTTAATAAGATATTTAAATAAATTAAGTTATTATATTTATTATACCAAAAATAATAATTTAAAGTAGTAAATCTTATAATTATGTCAACTAATTTAGATTGACATATCAATCTTTCCAAAATGTTAACAGAAATTTTTTTTTAAAAAAAAGAAGATTTAAAAAAAATGTATACTAAAATGGATTGACTATGGAAAAAAAATGTGTAAACCTAAACTCTAAATCTAGGCGTGGCATCATGAGCATTGGATTAGTGTCCTTTTTGACACTAACCTCAACATTGAAGTGCCACGTAGTTTACTTAGGCCTCAACATTGAAGTGCCACGGAGTATATAGTTTATCATCATTAATATAATAAATAAAAAATAGATAAGTTTAAACCTAGACTAAGGACTATAAATACTTGACTTACCTAGGAACGAAGCTATTAGAAAGAAAACAAAAAAAAGAAGGGGAAACAAACAACTTACAAATATAGAAAAGAAAACTAGTTTGCCACCGGAGTGTTAGCAGCGGCAGTTAGAGTCCGCGTTTGTTGGGTCATATCGATATTTCTCGTTCTTTCAACTGCGGTGAGTACCACCGCGCTTATAACAATCGATACTTAATATAATACATGGATTTATACAATGATTTCATGTATATATTCTGTTTAATTTCCGTCACTAGAATTCAAAAGAAATAGCGTTAACTATTTTGAACATGCTTTACGTCCAAACTTTCTAAAATTAGCCCAATAAAGTTTTTAATAAGTTGTTATATCAAAAAAAGGGAGATATTCTTAATAAGTTTTATTTAAAAAAAATAGTTTTGAAATGCTCTATGTTTAGTACTCCCTCCGTCCCTCATAGATCTTCCCAATAGCCCTTTTTCTTTGTCCACAATAGATCTTCTCATTTCATTTTTTAACAATTAAAATACCACAACTACCTCCACTTACTTTATTTATTACACCTCACCCACCTCATTTAATACACTCCATCCATTTTTCATTAAGGGTATTATGGTAAACTTTCACCTTTTTTCAACTCTCCTTAAAAACCACCAAAAGTCAAAATAAGAACATCTTGGGGGGACGGAGGGAGTATTAAATTGCATACAAATTATTTATATAAAAATTTAATATGAGTTGAATTTGAAATATGGGTTCAAATGGGACATAAACATATACAAATTATATTTTTTAAAATTATCAAACGATTTCTAGTATGTGAACTACGGTTCACAAGATTCCACAAGGTTAACCAGTACCTCTCTATTGTCGTATGTACGAGCTCGTCATAATGGACTTATCGTGTACGTTAGGTACTCGGAGTCCCAGTTACATAATGGACTTGTCTTGTACGTTAAGTACTTGAAGTCCTAATTAAACAAGAATCAAGCAGAGTAAAGAAAAAGTTCAAATATGAGAATATTGCACCTTTATGGAATACTGTGTTAGACAAACGTCCAACGCTAGAGGGGTGAATAGAGTTATTTTCAAGAATGTGCGTTTTTTGCGTGTGTGAAATAAAAAATTTGCAAGAATAAATGTAAAGAGTAAGGAAAAGAAGAACACCGAGATTTATACTGGTTCACCACCTCGTGGCTAGTCTAGTCCTCCGAGAGACTCTCTCAAAGGTCATACTAATCTTCAAGCTTCAACGGGTGCTTGAAAAACCGGTACAACTTGAGAGCTTGAATCACACAAGCCTCACTTTCTTACAACACCAAGACTTGAATCCCACAAGTCTTAAGAGCAACAACTCAAACAATATGAGTTTAACTGTTAGGTCCTTAATATTTAGCGTATGGGTTGGCGTTCTTTTTGACAACACACAACCACTAGTAGATAGTAGTGCAGTGTCCTTATGGTAGTAGAATTCTGTTGTTAGAAGGATTCCTGGTCTATCAAGAAACTGGCTTAATCGAAGACTCCTCTCTGGACTCAACGAAGCAGTATGCGTAAGAGTTCTACAGACTAAAGGTTAGGGTTTCATCCTATGCTGGCCCAGAGATATAAATAGGAGATTAATGCTTGGCAGAAGGCGTGGGAGAAAAGAATGTATTCGGCTGAGAAAGAGAGAACATACTGAGAGTTGATCCATCTTAGAGAAGAGCATATCATATACACATACGAGAGATTACAGCAAGAAGATCAGCCATGGATCTTCTCTGAAGGTTTGTTCAGCTTGTGCATTTTGTGAGGCTGAGCAAAGGTCAAGAACACATCCTTATTGCAGAGCTACGAGAAGGTGTAATAGGCCTAGTTTGACACAGAGCTTGGTGTCCGATCACGTAAGTAGACAAATCTGTTCAATAGAAGGATCTGTTAAGTTTGATTGTGTAATTCTTATGATGATCTAGTGGAAAGGCTATTATACGGATGTGGGCCTCGCAGACGTAGGAGAGTTGACTCCGAACTGCGTAAACAAACCTGTGTGTCTTTGTTTGCTTTCATTTTGTTTGGTTCAGTGTTAGAAAAGGTGTTGAAGCATTCTGTGAAACTTAGTTGTTTGCGCTACAACACAGTTTCCAACCCATGTCTGTTGTGTTGAGTGTCTTTGTCTCTGGTTTATATATTGGGCTGTGAGTGTAGAAATTTCATTTGGTATCAGAGCCTGCATAGCTTAATTTACTAGCTATCGATCATATCATGGGAGACATGGAAGAAGGAGCAAATGTTCAGAGACCACCTTTACTGCGTGGACACAACTACAATTTCTGGAAGGGTAGGATGAGGGCTTTTCTCAAATCTCTTGGAGGTGGGGTCTGAAGAAGTGTGGAAACTGGGTGGACTGAACCACACAAATATTCTGATGATCTGACTACATCAAGAATCAAACCATTCGAAGAATATAGCAGAACTGAGGTAACTGCTGCTGAGTTTAATGATAAAGCCCTAAATGCAATTTTTGGGGCAGTAGATTCTACTCAGTACACGCTCATCTCAAACTGCGACAATGCCAAGGAAGCTTGGGATATTCTTGAAGTCACACATGAAGGAGATGAGGAAGTGAAGACTGCAAAATATCAGATCCTGATGACTCAATATGAAAATCTGCGCATGGACGAGAAGGAAAAAATCACTGAATTTCATGGGAGAGTTAGAGATATTGCAAACCAGGCTGCACGACTAAATGAACCCATTCTAGAAAATAAGTTGGTTCTCAAGGTGCTGAGATCACTTCCAAAAGATTATGAGATGGATGTCAAGGCCATTCGACGTTCCCACAACATCAAAAACATGACTCTTGACGCTCTTATGGGAATACTGGAATCAATTGAACTGGACATGGTAGAAGATAATAAACGAAGGAAACCTGATAAGTAGATAGCATTCCCCAGCACTGAGGTGGAAGATGACGGAGAACATGATTGGTCACTTGATGAAGATTTCCAAGAGCAGCTATCACTGTTCACTCAGAAATTCAAGAAGCAGTGGATTCAAAAGAGATCAAATCCAAGACATGAAGGCACCTCTAAGGGACTTCCATCAAAAAATGCTAAGTATAAAGAAACCAGATACACAGAAAGCCCTAACTATATGAAGAAAAAGGGGCCACAGTGCTTTGAATGTGGCGGATATGGCCACATCCAGTCTGAGTGTGCAAACAATCTAAAAAAGAAGAGACAAGCTTTCAAGGCAACTTGGAGTGATGATGAAACTGAAGATCAGAGTGATTGTGAAGAATCTAACTGTGCATTTAGTGCAAGTGTTGATCTAGGTGACGAAGTGAGTCTTGAAGAACAACTCCAGGACCTGCAAGAAAAATGGTCAGAACTCCTGATGGTAAACAAAAGGAATGTCACAGACAAAAACAGACTGATTTCAGAAGTTGATGTTTTGAAGGAGAGAATTGAAGGACTCATCAGGAAAATTGGAGAACTTGAAGGAGAAAAATCTGATCTGTTATTCGAAATAAACCAACTGAAGTCCTATCAAAAGTGGATCAAAGTTGCAGGAGCAGAGGTGCTAGATCATCACTCAACTATGGCTAAGCCTCCTGGAGATATGACATGTATTGGATACACAGAAAAAGGAAAGATGCCTAAATCACTTGAAGTCAAGTTTGTTAAAGCTTCCGAAGTAACTGCATCAGCTAGCACACATCATTTCAAAAAGGAACATCAAACACTCTCATACAAGAATCCTTACCACCATTACAGATGCTTTAACTGTAATAAGTGGGGACACATACAACGTCAGTGTGCCACAAGATGGAGCAAGCAGTGGACATCTAAACGTTACAAACAAATCTGGATACCAAAACAATATGCTTCTGTGGCCAACACGTGTTACAGGGTCACCCCAGATCAATGGCTTCTTGACAGTGGATGTTCGCATCATATGACCGGTGACAGAGAAAATCTCATAAACATCAAGACACTGGAACAAGGAAGTGTTTGTTTTAGTGGTGGAGCACAGGGAAAAATAGTTGGCAGTGGCACGCTCAACGTATCCGGACTACCACCTATCAAAAACGTATGGCTAGTCCAAGGCTTACAGGTAAATCTGCTCAGCATAAGCCAAATATGTGACCAAGGGCTTGAAGTATTTTTTACACAGCAAAAGTGCAGAGTGAGAGACCGGTAAACAAGTGGTGCTTAAAGGTGATAGAACAGCTGACAACTGCTATAGAGTAACCCCAAATGTTCTCTGTTTCTCAGCAAGTGAAAAAGATGCAAGGTTATGGCACTATCGCCTGGGGCATCTGAATTATAAAGATCTTGTAACTCTGTCGAATTCGGGAGCTGTGAGGGGTTACCAAAAATCATTAATAAAGAGGCAAAGATATGTGGTCCTTGTCAAAAGGGAAAGCAGATACGCAAAACCCATCCAGTCAAAGTATTTCAATCCACAAAATGCCCCTTAGAGCTGCTGCATATAGATCTTTTTGGGCCTATGAAGACTGAAAGTATTGGAGGAAAGAGATTTGTACTCATGGTGGTTGATGATCTTACAAGATATACATGGGTATGCTTTCTAAGGCATAAGGATGATGCACTATATGCCTTTGCCACACTCTGCAACAAAGTCCAAAATGAGAAACGGTCAAAGATACAAAAGGTTATACGGGTGAGAAGTGATCATGGAGGGGAGTTCGACAGCCAACCTTTCAGCAACTACTGTGATGAACAAGGAATAGCTCATGAGTTCTCAGCACCAAAAACCCCACAACAAAATGGGGTAGCTGAGAGAAAGAACAGACATGTGCAGGAAATGGCAAAAACAATGCTTCACACACAACGATTACCAGAAAATCTTTGGGCCGAAGCCGCACACACAGCCTGCTACACAATAAACTGGGTGTACATAAGAAGTGGAACTCAAGCTAATCCATATGAACTGTGGAAAGGGAGAACTCCAAACGTGGGACATTTTCACATTTTTGGAGCAAAATGCTTTATTCTTCGAGATCGAGAGCATAGAAGTAAGTTTGATGCAAAAAGTGATGAGGCTATATTCGTGGGATACTCACCAAACAGCAAAGCCTTCAGAGTATTCAACAAACGCACCAGGACAATCATGGAGTCCATTAATGTCATAGTAGATGACAAAGCACTATGGAAGAATGACTGTGACACAAGAGATGATGAACCATCTGCTGAACAGCAAACTGAAGAAGTTTCACCAACATCAGACATAAAAGATCAACCAGATGCAGAACCATAGGCAAGTCAACCAGAAGAAGTCCGAGTGCGTACTCACATTCAAAAGAATCACCCTCTAGAAAATGTTATCGGAGATCCACAGGAAGGAATGTGCACTCGGAAAAAGAAGATCGATTATGTTGAGATGATAAATGCCTTCTACACATCGTCAGTTGAACCAAGAAATGTCAAAGAAGCCCTGACAGATGAAGCATGGATAAACGCAATGCAGGAGGAGCTTGCACAGTTTGAGCGAAATCAAGTATGGGAACTGGTGCCAAAACCTGAGGATGTGAACATTATTGGCACGAAGTGGATTTTTCGAAACAAAACTGATGAAGATGGCAACGTGATAAGAAACAAAGCAAGGCTAGTGGCTCAGTGATACACACAAGTGGAAGGAGTTGATTTTGAAGAAACCTTTGCGCCTGTGGCAAGACTTGAATCAATTCGAATACTCATCAGTATGGCATGTGTCTGGAACATGAAACTATATCAAATGGATGTCAAAACAGCCTTTCTGAATGGATATCTTAAAGAAGAGGTTTATGTATCCCAACCCAAAGGATTTGAAGATACAGCACATCCAACGCATGTATTCAAACTATGCAAGGCACTCTATGGCCTGAAGCAGGCTCCGCAAGCATGGTATGATAGACTAACAGCATATTTATGCAAACAAGGATACACCAGGGGAGGAGTAGACAACACCATGTTCTATATCAGGTACGGTAAAGACATACTGGTAGCTCAAATCTATGTTGATGACATACTGTTTGGTTCAACCTCAGAAATATATGTTGGGAAATTCGTTGAAGTCATGGAGAAAGAGTTTGAAATGAGTATGATTAGAGAATTGACTTACTTCTTGGGGCTACAGATCAAACAGACACATGATGGAATTTTTATCTCTCAAAATAAATATGCTCTGAATATGCTGAAGAAGTTTGATATGAGTGACTGCAAAAGTGCTAGAACACCTTGTCCAACACATGAGAAAATAAGCAGGGATGATAATGGAAAGGACATCGATGCTACTCATTACAGAGGAATTATTGGAAGTCTGTTATATCTTACTGCAAGCAGACCTGACATATGCTACAGTGTGGGAGTATGTGCAAGATATCAAGCTAAGCCTAAAGAATCACATATGAAGGCAGTAAAAAGAATACTGAAATATGTTAAGGGCACACATAACATGGGTCTCTAGTATTCTAAAGGTGCTCCAGCACAACTTATGGCATATAGTGATGCAGATTGGGCAGGCAACATTGATGATCGCAAAAGCACTTCAGGAGGATGTTTCTATCTAGCAGGCAATCTAGTAGCATGGCTTAGTAAAAAACAGAATTCGGTCTCACTATCTACTGCAGAAGCTGAATACATTGCTGCCGGGAGTTGTTGTGCACAACTTTTGTGGATGAAGTCAATGCTAACTGATTATGGAATACAGCATGATACTATTCCCATTTATTGCGACAACACAAGCGCCATAAATATATCCAAAAATCCAGTACTACACTCACGTACCAAACACATTGATATCAAACATCACTTTATACGAGAGCTAGTAGAAGGAAAAATTGTCGCTCTTGAATACGTTCCTACTGAACATCAGTTAGCTGATATAATTACAAAGGCACTTGATGGAGAAAGATTTGAGACACTCAAATCCAATTTGGGTCTATGCGCACCATTCCAATAAACCATGCACATAAAAAAATTGGGCACAAACTGTCAGCTAATGTGCTCATATTAGTTGAATCTGCTGAGTTTACCTGAACAAAAGAAAGGAGGGGAGGCGTACTAACACGCGTCATCATTGAAAACGAGAAATACGAAGCGGCACCAGCAACGTCACGTAAACAGAAGCGCCTCGGCATTATCTTCTGAGTAAAAAGCAAATTCAAGAGCCCTAATCTCAAAATTGTGCTTCTCTCTATCAAGCTCAAACGGATCTTACCAAGAAAATATGGTGAGAATCAAACATGCACTTCCTAAACGATGGAAGGGAAAACCCTCACTCAAAAGGGAACTCTGGGCAAAACATTGCTGGACGCGTCTACTGGCTGCAAACAACGCACAACAAACCAATGCTCATCCTGAAACACAGGCAGCAGATGTAGACGAAGAACATCTCCTACAACCCAATCTGGAAGGATCAAACATGGAGCAACCAGATTCAAGATCTGTAGATGCTGAAGTCAAAAATGTAACAGAAGATGATGTGATTCTACATCCTGTAGCCACAATCCCAGAAACCCTCTACTTAGAGTACACAGTCACTAATCAAGAAGAAAACATGCAGAGCAAAAAGAAGGAAGATTTGTGGTCAGAGAAGGAAAAACCAGAAATTGTGGATAAAGAACCTTTAATAGCATGCTCAGATGTGCCATTTGAAGGAGTGCAATTCACAACTCTAGAATCCAAGATACCAATGGCGAAATGCACTGGATCTAGATGGTCGCTGCGTCAAAAGGCGAAAGAAGATCAAGAATCAGAAGGGTTTGAAGAAATTCAACCAAGAGAAGTTCCAAAGAAGGGGTTAAAGCGAAAGGAGAAAGCAGGAGATGATCAAGAGGAGAGTTTAAAGAAGCAGAAAACATCATCTCCCCCAGCAAAACTCACAACCGGAAGTCAGAGCAACCGAAGGAAAGATGCAAAAACCAAAAAGTCACCCAAACCAGGGAAGTTTTCTAAACATCTTTTCGTGAATTCAATTGCTAGCTCATTCATGTCTGAAATTGCCAAGAAAACCATTCTGCCACAAAGAAGTATTGATGTTGAGGATTATGAATCGAAGACAAACTTAATCTCTGTGCTGAAAAAATGTAATTTACTTAAGTCAATCACTCTGCCCGGTTCTTATGTGAGAAAAGTCATTCAAGAGTTTTACTGCAATTTGTCTGAGGGTTGCAACATCCACACTGACCCCTCATATCACAAAGTGTTTGTGAGAGGAAAAACTTTTGATCTGTCCCCTACAAAAATCAATCAGTTCTTGAACATAAAACCCCCATCCTCTGAAATCAATGTGAATGAAAGACAAGTCTGGACTGATCTCACAAATGGTGAGCGTATCTCTCAATCCACCAAATCAAAAGTGCCCTCCTCCATCCTCAAAAGTTCTTATGCCATTCTGTTCAGAGTTGCTGCGTATCACTGGCTCCCCACTACCCATATGAACACAGTTCCACTCTGCATAGCCACACTCATTTACAAAATCAAGCATGAGATACCTAAGAATCTTGGGAAAATTATATTTGACCAGATCATGAGCTTTGCCCCTGAAAGGGCCAAACAAAACTCAAATGGGCTTCCTTATCCTCTTCTTATTTTTCAAATGCTCAAATCTCAGAAACTTGTAGTTGCAGATGAAGAAGAACCTGCTCCACCTCTCCTCCAGGTTGATTTAAGGCACTTTGAACGAAAACACTACAATGACATGGCAATAAGGGAGGAACAGAAGACAGCTCCAGCAGTTCTTCAGTCAGACTTCTCCAAAACAGCTTTCATCAAAGGAGAAATTCAGCTGCTGCAAGCGAAAATTGAAGAATACAAGAAGCTGATCAAAGAAGCTGAAATCAAAATGAAAAAATGGGCCATTGTCCTGTCATCTCTGGACATCACTTCAGATGAAGCTGCTAAATCATAGGGGGAGAGGACCAAGCAAGATGGACCAGATGATGCTGCAACACAGGGGGAGCAAAGTGAAGATGATGAAGCAACTGAGGAAGGAAAGGAAAGCTCAGATACAGCGGATGATAACCTAGCAAATGAGGAGTCAGATTTTGAAGCTGAACTCCACAAGTTTGATGATTAAACTCCTCAATTTTGTTTGAAAAACACTACTGCCATTTTTGGCTACTCAATGTTTTGATGGGATTGTTCTGTCCCTCATGATTTGGCATGGATTCATCTACTCATATTCTTGCTGCTACTATGTTGTATGTTGATATGGGTCTGTTATGCTGAGGATTGCTTGTTTATGAAGCTTGACTCTGAATGATTAATCTGCACATGGCTCCTAGTTTTCACTCAGGTCTTTGCACAGGTAGGATGACCATTTTTGAGGTGTCTAAGGTGTTCTAATGTACACACTCTTGTATCCAGTTGTCTAAATATCACTCTTCTCCAGTTTTTTTTATAATACACACTTTTGCCTTTGGCATATTTTTTCCCAAAAGGGGGAGAAGAAGTTTAGAACTGGCTGAGTGTCAAGTGATTGTGTTTATCAAAAATAGCCAAAGGGGGAGATTGTTAGGTCCTTAATATTTAGCGTATGGGTTGGTGTTCTTTTTGACAACACACAACCACTAGTAGATAGTAGTGCAGTGTCCTTATGGTAGTAGAATTCTGTTGTTAGAAGGATTCCTGGTCTATCAAGAAACTGGCTTAATCGAAGACTCCTCTCTAGACTCAACGAAGCAGTATGCGTAAGAGTTCTAGGGTTTCATCCTATGCTGGCCCAGAGATATAAATAGGAGATTAATGCTTGGCAGAAGGCGTGGGAGAAAAGAATGTATTCGGCTGAGAAAGAGAGAACATACTGAGAGTTGATCCATCTTAGAGAAGAGCATATCATATACACATACGAGAGATTACAGCAAGAAGATCAGCCATGGATCTTCTCTGAAGGTTTGTTCAGCTTGTGCATTTTGTGAGGCTGAGCAAAGGTCAAGAACACATCCTTATTGCAGAGCTACGAGAAGGTGTAATAGGCCTAGTTTGACACAGAGTTTGGTGTCCGATCACGTAAGTAGACAAATCTGTTCAATAGAAGGATCTGTTAAGTTTGATTGTGTAATTCTTATGATGATCTAGTGGAAAGGCTATTATACGGATGTGGGCCTCGCAGACGTAGGAGAGTTGACTCCAAACTGCGTAAACAAACCTGTGTGTCTTTGTTTGCTTTCATTCTGTTTGGTTCAGTGTTAGAAAAGGTGTTGAAGCATTCTGTGAAACTTAGTTGTTTGCGCTACAACACAGTTTCCAACCCATGTCTGTTGTGTTGAGTGTCTTTGTCTCTGGTTTATATATTGGGCTGTGAGTGTAGAAATTTCATTAACAACACAAGAAATGAAGCTCACAAAAGAGCAAGTAGTGTTTAAAGTGTAAGCTCTATGGATGACAATATCTTTGCACTCAAGAAAATATATATATCTGTTCTTCACTATCAACCACAACTTATAGTCGTTGGATTGGATAAAGATTCTCATCCTCTCCTTCCAATACAAATAGTTTGTTCCATCGAACAAAGGTGGCCTTGTGGTTGATTGTCCCTCGGTTACTCCTGCGTTGAACATTCTTGATGCCATTTGATCTTTTAATTCCTAAAAATATAATGTATTCGAAGAACTTCCTGCTCCGATACTAATTCTTAGACAAACGTGCAACTCTAGATGGGGGGTGAATAGAGTTATTTTCAAGAATGTGCGTTTTTTGCGTGTGTGAAATAAAAAATTTGCAATAATAAATGTAAAGAGTAAGGGAAAGAAGAACACCAAGATTTATACTGGTTCACCACCTCGTGGCTAGTCTAGTCCTCCGAGAGACTCTCTCAAAGGTCATTCTAATCTTCAAGCTTCAATGGGTGCTTGAAAAACCGGTACAACTTGAGAGCTTGAATCACACAAGCCTCACTTTCTTACAACACCAATACTTGAATCCCACAAGTCTTAAGAGCAACAACTCAAACAATATGAGTTTAACAACACAAGAAATGAAGCTCACAAAAGAGCAAGTAGTGTTTAAAGTGTAAGCTCTATGGATGACAATATCTTTGCACTCAAGAATATATATATATATATATATATATATATATATATATATATATATATATATATATATATATATATATATATATATATATATCTAGCTCTCAAAATAGTATTTGATTATCAAGAGATGGAGCAAGAATCAAAAATAATGAATGAGAGGATTGAAGTGCTTGTATTGTGTTTAGAATGAAAGAGGAAGAGGGATTATATAGGTCAAAAATTGATATGTCCATTGGGGCACGAAATTGGCTAAGTATGAGATACAACGGACAAAAAATCGATTTGCACAAAGAGGGAAATCGATTAGATGCTTCTGAGCAAAATTCCTTCTGCGCTACAATTATCTAATCAATTAAATGAGGATCCGTTTAATCGATTTAAACCAGAAATTGATTTCACCAAATGTGAATTAATCGATTAACAAACTGGGCGAGAGAACCCAATCAGCGATAGAAGAGAAATCGATTTTTGCACAAAATAGAATGGTTACCTCTATTGCACAATTGACTAATGCTAAGAAGATTGTGCTTGAGGCCCTCAACAAGAAGAACGTTCTCAATGGTTGTAGCATTATCTCTTCCGACGGTTCCACTTCCAACTATCCTTCCTTTGTTGTTATCGCCAAAAATGACATTGCCAGCTTTGAAGTACTCTAAACTTCTAAATTTGGATGCGTCTCCGGTCATGTGCTTGGAGCATCCGCTATCGAGATCCCAAGAGGTAATTGAAGCCTTCAAGCACATCTACAAAATGTTATCAAGGAGACGGTTTAGGTACCCATGTATTGTTGGGTCCTTTTTGGTTAGCATATGTGTAATGTGTGTGCATTTGTTGAAAATGCCTATGTTTGGTGAAGCACACAAGTGTAATGTGACCTATCTTATTACAATAATGGAAAATAACATTTGGATTATTCATCCTATATGGTTGAGTGTAATGAGTTCTAGGTTTGCTAGGAGGTGCTCTTCTAGTTTGATTATTTGTCCTAGCATTTTTATTCCCCCTAGCTTTAACAAATATTGTTTTTCTAGGTGGGTTTTTCTTATATCGAAGTCCTTCACCATTACTATGTTTTTACCCAAGTATTTTATCTAAGGTGTCTGAGGCTTTATTAAACTTTCCCAATTTGCTCTCTAAAGTAGCAACCTTAGTTTTAAATGAAGTGCAACTAGAGCATGTAGTAGATGAACAGGATGGTGATGTTTCCGGCCTTTTTCCAATAGAAACAATTTCTTGTTTAAGTTGATCATTTATATTTTTGAGTTCTTTGATATCATTCTCAAAAATCAAAATTTTATGTTTAAATTTTTTATTTTCTTTTGAGGCCTTCTTAAACATTCCTACAAGTTCTTCTACAATGCAAACAACATCATTTAAAGTTAAGGAATCATTAGAGAAAGGTTCTTGATCACTTACCTCCTTAGATGCTTGATCTTCTTCAAAGGCCATGAGGCAAAGGTTGGCCATCTCCTCTGCTTCGGAATCTTCACTCCCGGAGCCGTCGTTCTCCCAAGAACAAGTTTCAAAAGAGAGTTTTCAAAAAAGGTCCTTCCACTTTAAGCTAAGCCCGGGTAGTGAAGGATAGCCCAAAAACAAGTTTCAAAAGAGAGTTTTCAAAAAATTTTGCAAGAGTTTCCCTTAAAAAGTGAACTAATGCAATTTGATTTTCAAAGGAACAATATGTTCTAGGAGAGAAACATATTGTCAAACCAACACACAAGCAACAACGATAATAATAAGAGTTAAAAAACATTGTGATTTGTGATTTGGGGTATAGAAATTGAGTCCCAAAAATATTGTGTGTCAAACGATGAAAAGAAAAATTTGGGGTAAAAATATTTTTGCTTCCCAAAAAATATTTTTCTAGTATCAAAAAGATTATTTAAAATTGTTTGACACATCTTTTATAATTCACTCAATAAATTTATTTTTGAATCGTTAAAGGATTTTTCAATTGACTCCAAAAATAAATATAAATTTTTAATGTATATCCCTCAATAAAGTAAAATTTTAAGTAAAAAGATATTTTGTCATCCTTACAAATTTCCTAGACGCAAAGTAATAAAAGTCTTCAGAAGGCTTCTCTTCACTTCAAGATCTTGCGTAGGGATAATGAATGGTAGTCGTTGTGAATTTCTTGATGTGTCTTTTGCTTTCTTGAACCGAAAAATAAATTTTCGGTCTTCGTTGCATTTGTCATTTATCAAAACCTGAAAGATTAATTTCATGACAAAAAATATCTAAACGGGTTTGATATATTTACCTAGAATAGAGTCACACACATATAACATATGAAAGTGTAGAATATTTAAGTGGAGTAAAGTTGCACTTTATTTATATATTGTGTATATTATATTGTATGACAATATGATTAGATATACAAATATATATAAATAAATAAACTTTTATATTTGGACATTTTAATTATGTGATAATTAAGTTTGTCAAATATAATTAATAATAATAAATATATATATATATTCGGATATATATATGTATGTATGTATGTATGTATGTATGTATGTATGTATGTATGTATGTATGTATGTATGTATGTATGTATGTATGTATGTATGTATGTATGTATGTATGTATGTATGTATGTATGTATGTATGTATGTATGTATGTATGTATGTATAAATAATAAATTGTTTATTATTATATCATTATTACTAAGGCGCAAGAATGTATATATATTTATATATTTGATATTTGGACATTTTAATTATATTATAATTAAGTTTGTCAAATATTATTTAAGGAACAAAATATAACATTATTATATTTTATATATGTATATGTGCGTGTATATTATATATATGTGTGTGTGTGTGTGTGTGTGTGTGTGTGTGTGTATCGCCATATATATGTATATATGCTTATGTATATTTCGGATATACATATAATAAATGTTATATTATTTATATTGTGTTAATTATATGATAATTAAAGTTGATAAAATAAATTAGAAGCTTCCTTAAAGTGGGATTCAAAATTTTCTAAGTAGAATAGAAATGAGATTTGGTTTCCTTCCTAAACTTAAAAAGGTACAATCCA